AAATCGTGATTTTATCTTGAGAGGCGCTATAGAAAAGATCATTTTCTTTCTTTCTTTAATATTTTCAGCTCATCTCGTTTAATAACAATGACTGTCAAGATTAAACGCTGAAAAGGTGACAGGTAAATATTTACTCCTGGAGTCTGATTTTTCTGATATCAGAAACAAAACAACAACTATAAAATGAATTCATTCTAAAACATTATGCATACATTTCTTCAGAATGATCCACAGAAACGTGAAAGCAGCCCAGAGCTGGACTCAACACCACAGCGCAGCATTTGTGTAAAATCTACCTTTTTTCCCCCGGAGCAAATGCAACAGACTTGAGGCTGCAGAGGTGACCTTTGAAACTCCCTAAAAGCTCCCCAGACTTCACATCCCACAGCCTGGCCATCTGGTCACCAGCAGCAGTCACCTGATGAAGGCAGAACATGTTAGAAAAAGATTCACTGGTATTAGAATAAATTATTTTAAAAAAAAAACTAAGTTCTGTTACACAGTGCTTGAATAAGTAGTTGAAATTATAGCATTTATACCAGCTGAGGCTCTCCTGGCACCCATGCAATGTCAAAGACGGCATTCTCATGAGCTAGCCATTCTGTAAAGTTCACATTCAGTTAGAAAACATCATCTGTACACACACAGAAGTAATTATGGAGCAATGTTCAAGTACCTTTAAGAAGAGGGTTTTCCTGGCTCTCTGTGTTGTAGATCCGAACAATCCCTTCTTCATTCGCTGCTGCAAGAATATTTTGCAGCTCAGCACCTAAAAGGAGATGCATTTAGTTTTAAAAATAAGGGAACATTGCCGTCTTCCAGTATTTTCACATCATGCAAATAGATTACTGGAGGAGAAGGTCAATCCAAACGGTGGCATGGAGTCGCCCATGTTCCCATAAGAGATGTGCTCATCTTGTCGGGTACACTGGTAGCCTCCCAGCAGGAAGCTGAGGGGGATTCTGGAGCAGGAGTCTGCATGGAGAGCTGCACAGATGGAAACCATGGTAAATCAGAGCAATCGGATTCATGAACGCTGACTCCTAAATGAACTTTGGACTGTATATTCCTCAGAAATGTAGTTAAATTTTTCTGTTTGTACCCTTTTTATTTGTTTATTGTATGAGAGAGGGAGCCTGGAGCCATGGACGTAATTTTTTTTTTTTGGGGGGGGGGGACATGTCAAGTTTTGACCCCTGCACTTTTTACCATCCAAAAACAATATTACGCTATATTAAATTGACACTGGTTGAGCTCTAGGACTAAGCGGAAAACAACCGTTTGTGTTGAAGCCTGTTTCCCATTAGAGCATACTGTAAAGATCCCCCCCACTTCTAAAGTGAAAATTACATCCATACCTGGAGCTAAAGGCTGTACCTGCCCTTTTAAGGTATGTGAAAAGCCAACGTATATAAATGCAGTGATCAAAAAGATCTGCAATGGGAGTGGTACCGGTTTGATTCCTGCTCACTCCAAACTGCCTTTAGGCAGCACACTTCACACACCTTGCTATTTCACCTCTGTAAGTCGCCTTGTATAATAGTATAATGCATAAACATAAAAAACACCGAGAACGAACACAAAGAAACACAAAAAAAAGGATTTTTAGCTATTTCACTCTTTGCTGGTTATTTTGATGGTGATCACAGATAATGTTAAAGCTCAGCTAAATAAAAGTTTAGTTAGGGAATAATTATTAAATTGTGCTGGCATAAAATGTTTGAAAATACTAAAGAAACCGCAGGATGACGTAGCATTTACGTCATATGCTGATTTCAGTTGGCTTTTTGAACATTTCTTCTCTCAAAGATAAAGAACCAGAACGAGACAGCCATCTAATATTAAACAGCTATATAGATTTTTCTATGCCAAACACAAAGGTTGATTTTTTTTCCCCTATCAAGCTAAAAGCTACCAGCAGTTACAGATCTCAAAGTCCCCTAAGCGCATCGTGGCTCACCATTTTGCCTCCGTCGACCCACTTCTCTGTCAACAACAGAACGGAAAAGCACTCCCATCATCCAGTACAGAGACGATCTGAAAGAAACACTTAGAAGTTGGTCAGATCGTGAACTGGGGGTCTCCTCTTGTCTGTAGCTGCTGATTATATTTCCCGCGTATTGATCAACTAAGGGGAAGAACCAAATTACGCGCGAAGCGTTTTATTCAACTTCTATTGGCACGTTGGTGCCGCGGTTCAAAGGGCGACTTCCTTAACGGGATCGTTTCCGCTTCTGCTTCCTTTCAGGGGGAAATCCTTCAAAATAAAAGAACCACGCAGGCACGTAAACAAAAACAAACATGCGAACGACAGCATAAAAAATACACGAAGATCACTGAGATGGAGTCATCGACGACCAAGCAGAGCTTTTTACTAGCCATGAAAAAGTATAGAAACACATATGGTTAAATAATAGCATTTTTAAATAAACCACAAATAATGATCTGTATCAGTCGAGAAAACATTCTCTCTATTTGAAATAACTGCAGAAACTCTTTTTTAATGCAATCTATTTATTTACACCACGGTAAATAGATAACCTAATTTAATTCAAGATTTTTATCTTTTGAAATAAATCAAGCATTTGTGAGTTGTGTCATGTGAAAATTTTCTTTGAAAAGCACCAGACCGGATATAGTGTTACTGTAACACAACAATGCTACTTAGCATCGCCTGAGCGTTGAGAAGATAATAGGAATAGTCATTTATTATACCTCAAATATTAACCGAAATTTAAAAAAATGTCACTTTCAACAGCGCGATCATTTCTATCGGAGGCTTGTTATGGGGAGCAAGAACTAGACGCTAATTCCGCTCTTATGGAGCTGGACAAAGGTGCTAACCAGTTAGCATAATGCTAATTGTACTGTGGTGCTGTTTTATGTGTTTATTCGATTTTTTTTTGTGTTCAAATTCGATCAGTTATTGGAGGTTTGTCCGTCTTATTTTGTGACTAGAGCATTGTTTATAATTTCAGGACTGCGGTCAGGGAAGCCAGGAGAGCAGTGTGAAGCGGTGGTGTTGTTCCCCAAACTCTTCCAGAAGTACCCCTTTCCCATCCTAATCAACTCAGCCTTTCTAAAACTAGCTGATATCTTCAGGCTCGGGTATGGAAGCATCAATATTATTAGTCCATAGTTGGTTATATGCTAATTTATTTTATAGATTGTCATTACTCCTATTAAAGCAACATAACCATATTACAAAGTCAATGTTCATGAACATTAAAGCAGCCAGTACTCAGAAATGCAACAGTTAACCTTGGCCTTAATACTTAAATCACTCAAATTTAATTAACTTATTTTCTGATTATAAATATTAATTTTATTTATCTACAATCAGTCTAGCAGTGTCCCAAACGTGTTCATCTAAAGGTGCCTGTTTTTCTGCCCAGCAACAACTTTCTGCGTCTGTGTGTGCTGAAAGTGACACAACAGAGCGAAAAACACTTGGAGAAGATCCTCAACGTTGATGAATTTGTTAAAAGGGTGTTTTCGGTCATTCACAGTAATGACCCTGTGGCCAGAGCCATCACTCTGAGGTAAAGAGGATATGCTCCAGAACACTTATTTACAGCCCTCTTTTTGACACCCAATATGTAAAAGAAATTATTTTCTGTTTTTTTTTTTATTCAGAATGCTCGGTAGTTTAGCGTCCATTATCCCAGAGAGGAAGAATGCCCACCACAGCATTCGACAGAGCTTAGACTCTCATGACAATGTGGAAGTGGAGGCTGCTATTTTCGCTGCTGCGAGTTTCTCTGCACAGTCAAAGTAAGGGAAACCGTGGCTGGAATGAAGCCCTCATGCCAGAAAATTGGTGGTTTTGCAAACATTAGATGTTTGATTTTACTGTTTCCAATGTTGCAGAGACTTTGCAGCTGGAATTTGCAACAAAGTCAGCGAGATGATTCAAGGTAGGTTTGCTTGAGGTGAAAAGATCATCACACACACACAGTCATGCTTGTCTTTTTAATTATTTGCATTCCTAGGTTTGGACACTCCGGTTGAGCTGAAGCTGAAGTTGATCCCTATGCTGCAGCACATGCATCATGATGCCAGTTTAGCATCCAGCAGCAGAGAGCTTCTGCAGCAGCTGGTCAACTCCTACCCTTCCACCCCCATGGTCATCGTTTCTCTGCACACCTTTACCCAGTTGGCTGCCTCCTCTCTCATCGATATCCCCAAGCAGGTAGTGTCATGTACCTGATTCAGGTTGTGCATATCTGCTTTTATCCTGAATTACATCAAAGTTACCGATCCACCTCCGTTCACCCAGTTGGAGCTCCTTCTTCAGTATCTGAAAGATGATCCGAGAAAAGCTGTAAAAAGACTCGCAATTAACGACCTAAAGCTGTTGGCTAAAAAGGCACCCCACCTATGGATCAGAGAAAATACTCAGGTAGAGATGCCGACAGTAAAATATTCTTGCAGCTGTTAAATCTGCACCGAGTCTAACAAAGGTCGTGTCTGCAGGTGCTGTGTGAGTGCGCTCTGACCATCCCGTACAACAGTCTGAAGCTGGGGATGTTGGCTGTCCTCTCCACCCTCTCTGAAACAATAGCAATCAAACAGTATTTCAGTAACGCAGCTGGTGAGTGTTATTTTTGTTTCTGCTGTTGTGAAATCGGTGTATTCATTTATTTTTTTCACGTGGAGCAGAAGAATCACTTTGAATCAAGTTGTTAAAACTTTCCTGTCAGGTGGTGCTTCAGTTCCCCCTCGGCTCACTGACCTGGTTAAACTGGCACAAGAATGTTGTTACCATAGCAACCTGGTAGTGGCTGCTCACGGGGTCATTGTGCTGTGCAACATCACGATTTCCTGTTCGGAGAAAGGTTAGTTCCTGTGGACAATGGCCTACTTGAGGGATTTCTCTAACATCACTTCCTGTCTGTTGTTTAATCTCAGCGTCTCTTTGACTCGGTCTGTTCTTGTTTTTTTTAATTGTTTTATTGTTATTTGTGGATTTCTTGTCCTCAGACAGCGTTCAGCTGGAACAGGACACGGTTTTGGGAGTGGAGTCCCTCCTGATGCTGTGCAGTCAGGATAGCAGCTCCAGTGCCCAGGCCACTCTCAAAGTAAGACATGAGTAAATAGACAGCAGTAGCTCAACAGGTTGAGTAGCGGGTTGTCCAGTAATCGGAAGGTTGCAGGTTCGATCTTGGCTCCGGTCAGAGAATTCTGCTGTTGTGTCCTTAGGCAAGACATTTAACCCACGTTGCCTGCTGGTGGTGGTCGGAGGGACCGGTGGCGCCTGTGCTCGGCAGCCTCGCCTCTGTCAGCGCGCCCCAGGGCAGCTGTGGCTACATCGTAGCTCATCCCCACCAGTGTGTGAATGGATGAATGATACACTGTAGTGTAAAGCGCTTTGGAGTCCTTACTCTGAGAGGCGCTATACAAGTGCTGGTCATTCATCATTTATCATAGACATTGGAAGAAAAAAAAAAGCAAGTTTATTCTGACAGATGCTGACACTTTGCTTGTGAAATGATGAATTAATTTTGAATTTTTGGAACACTGAGTTCAGTTTCACTCTCCAGACCAGCTTACTGCCAGACCTGTAAAATAAAAACAATCCCTTCAAAAGAAACCCGTCTGAGATCTGGACGTGTGCTAAACAATCTCAAAAAAGCATCACACCACGTCCCATTTTAGAGACAATAGATGCCTGAAAAACCTTCGAAATGACTCCAGGCCCAAGTTATCGCTAAGGTCAGAGGTCATAAGTCAACAATAAGAGAGAGACATGTGGTATACATAGCCTCCATGGGACAGTTCCAAGGCTAAAACTTCTGCTGACCAAATCTCCCATTTAGCAAAAATTAAAAAGAGCTCTTAAGATTAGTTTGCATTCGGTGTTTGTTAACATAGCCGCTTTAACTAGAGTCCCGATTTATTCCTCATCACAAATCTCGCAGACGGCCCTGACTTCGTTGGTGAAGCTGCTGAAGAGCCGACCCCACCTCAGCCAACCGGTCGTAGAGTTCCTGCTCGGTCAGCTCCACCTATCCTGCGACTCCTCTCGGATCCTCATGTGCCACGCCCTGGCGGCCATTGCAACCAACCTGCCAGTGCTGAGAGACAGCATGCTGGGAGATCTGGTGGACCTTTACAGAGTGGTCGGCCATTCCTCCACCGGCGAGCAGCAGGAACTTCTGGTGAGGAACGATAGGCAGGTCACACACCTGCCGCTGTTTGGAGTCAGCTGGAGCTTTCAGTTTTGTTTTACATGCTGAAGAAAACAGTACATTTGTTTTTGTTTGTACATCTCTTGGTTGCTGCAGGTTTCCATGGCGACGGTGATTTTTGTTGCCAGCCAGTCGTCTCTGTCGGCGGAGGTGAAGATGCTGATCAAACAGCAGCTGGAGGGCATTGCCAACGGCTGGACGGTGTATCGAATCGCACGGCAGGCCTCGCGCATGGTGAGCAAACGTTTTCGTGAAGACTAAATCTCAAACCTGTGAAATAAGGTAATAAATGGTGACATCGTTCAGGGATGCCACGAGTTCTCCAGCGAGCTGTACCAGTGTCTTCGCACCCGCGTAGCGTCAGAGCACTTCTACTTCTGGCTGAACAGCCTCAAGGAGTTTTCCCAGGCCGAGCAGTGTCTGAGTCACGTGGAGGACGGAGACTACAGCGGCGCCATGAGCGCCATCGCCGAGGCCCTGCGCTCGTATCAAAAGGGCATCGCCTCCCTCACGGTCAGTTAACTGCAAAGCCTCCGCTTCTGAAAAACGGGACTTCGGCAACACCTTTGTGCTTTTTTGTCAGGGATGTGTATTTTAGAAATTCTGGCGATACGATACATATCACGATACAGGGGAGACGATACGATATATCACGATATATTGTGATACATTCAGTCAGACGTTACAAGCAATTTTTTACTGAATTTATTGTAAGAATGTTCAATAAACAGTCCAAACTGATACGTAAGGTGTTTAACATGAGGTATCTGAACCATGATGGAGGGATTTACATTTCAATGGTGGAAACAAAACCCGTCGCACACTGCTGCTAGTGATTGAATTGCACAAAACGAAAAGAAAACACACTAATGTTTGCATGTAAATTCTTTCAAGAATTAGATACACGGCTTTTGAATATTGATGTAATAATCGCAGGAAAAAATATCACGATATATTGCTATATCAATATTTCCGATACACGGCTTTTGAATATCGATGTAATATTGCTGGGAAAAATATCACGATATATTGCCATATCGATATTTTCTTACATCCCTATTTTTTGTGCTGTTTTAGTAAATGAGTTTGGTTAATTTCTCCCTGCAGGCTGCCAGCACTCCTCTTAGCCCGCTTACCTTCCAGTGTGAGTTCATTAAGCTGCGTATCGACACTCTGCAAGCCCTGTCACAGCTCGTTTGTACCTGCAACAGCCTGAAAACCAGCCCCCCGCCCGCCATCGCCGGCACCCTCGCTTACACTTCCGGCAACGACCTACAGCGATGCGGCCGCATCGCAATGCAGGTACGTTATTCTTTGCAGTGGGTCATAATTTCATCTTCTGCCATTATTTTAGAATTCCACACAAATAAAGCAGTCAGGTGGTTCATTTAGGAGCAGGATGTGCTCATCCAAGTGGAAAAAAGCCACCCTGATGGGATTAGTCACGTTGCTCCCTTTTTTTTCCCAGATGAAGGTATGCATGGAGGAGTTCAGAGGTCTTGCTGCTCGTTATGCAGATCTGCATCAGTCCTTGTTTGATGCAGATTACGCCACCCTCCGCAACGTGGAGTTGTATCCTTAAACTTTCCTCGGTCCAGTCACGCTCTGCTCCTTTACAGTCCTGTAGGTTTTATTTCTTTTAACTGTCTGTCCAGACAACAGCAGAGCTGCTTGCTTGTCTCCCATGTAATCGAAGCTTTGATACTAGATCCACAAGCAGCCAGGTGAGAGTTTTATTCTGTTCAATCACCTGAGAATTGGGCGTTATTACCCTTTTATTACCGTGTTACACCATCTGTTTCTATTATTTAGCTTTCAGGAGTACGGCGAGTTGAGATCTGTTCAGACGGAGAGCGAATATGAGCGACGGATGATGTCTGTCTTTAATCACGTGTTGGAGGAGGTGGAAGGGCTCTCCAAGAAGCACTCGCCCGTTTCACACCTGGTGAGACTTGCAGGATTCCACCAGGTTCTTGTTTTTTAGGCTCCGACTGCTCTTATCTAAACATGTGCTCCTTGTTTTTCAGCACACGAGTTGTCTTTGCGATGCTGTCATAGCTCTGCTGAAGGTCCCGCTGTCTTTCCAAAGGTATTTCTTCCAGAAGCTCCAGTCAACCAGCATCAAGGTAATTCTTTTTATATGCTTCTGCAAGTTAAGCCAGTATCGGGGGTGGTGTTTGCCTCTAGGTGATCATGTCCGAGTCTTGTTTTGTATTTTCCAGCTTGCGCTCTCGCCATCACCACGAACGTTCACTGAGCCAATCCCAGTGCAGAACAGTCAGCAGCTGACTCTGAAGGTGGAGGGTGTCGTGCAGCACGGCTCAACCCCAGGACTCTTCAGGAAGATCCAGTCTGTCTGTCTTAATGTCACTTCAGTGCTCCAGAGCAAGACGGGGACTGACTATAAGGTTTGTGTTGTCTTGGCAATGACGCGTTTTTTTTCTTCGTCAAACTTAATCTCACTTTAGCAGTCCTAACTGATACAAAACTTTTTTTTTTTCAGATTCCATTAGATACCAAAACGAATGAGATGGAGCAGCGTGTCGAACCTCACAACGACTACTTCAGCACCCAGTTCTTGCTGAACTTCTCTGTCCTCGGCACCCACTTGGTCACCGTGGAAGCCTCTGTGGTGGATGAGAGCGGCATCGAGTGGAAAACGGGGCCAAAGACGACGGTGTCTGTCAAGTCCCTGGAGGATCCTTACTCCCAGCAGCTCCGCCACCAGCTGCAGCAGGGTGGAGGTCAGCCCGCCCCACAGAGAGGAGCTTATGCTCGGTTTTAGTGGATTTCTTTTGTCATTTAGAAACTAATTATGTACATATGTTTTATTTAAGTCTTTAATAAAAGTCTTTAATTTCTAGGGGCCTTTTGTGTAATTAATGTTTAGAATTCGCTAAATTTGAACGTTCTTGGTGAATTTTTTCCACGTAGATGAAGTAATACAGAAAGCCACTAGGTGGCAGAGTTCTATCACAATGCAGTACAAAAACTAATATTTAAAACGTGAAATAATTAAGAGTGTAACGTTTGCTCTGGGAATTCCATTTAATCCAGAAATAAAATATTTGCCACGATTAAAGAAACTCATTTAGCACCACTGAAATTTTACATCTTACACTTTGTGGGGAAAAACAGCATGGAGTAAAGACAATATTTAAAATTGATGTCTCAACTTTGGTGTTGATGTAGCCTGGATGGATCCAAATCACTTAGAATGAAGTCATAACATGCAGGTGTGTGTGTGTGTGTGTGTGTGTGTGTGTGTGTGTGTGTGTGTGTGTGTGTGTGTGTGTGTGTGTGTGTGTGTGTGTGTGTGTGTGTGTGTGTGTGTGTGTGTGTCAGCTTAAAACCAAAAACGTTTGACATCAGGGAGTCTGCGCACTTCGACATCGAAGACTGGCGTCAAGCAAGCGCGAGCGTCAAATCTAAGTAAATAAAAATATTTAGATCCGCTCTGGATTTTCACAATAAAAATATGGTGCGTTAAATTTTAAATTTTGGGTGGGTTTTCTTTTAAAAAAAACACGTGAATTGATCATTTCACTGATAATTATTGAAATAGTCCAGCAATTACAAAGTAATAGTTTCACTGTTTTCGTACGATACATGTAAAACATTGTAAAATAAATTATTGGCCTAATATACGTAGACTGGTAAGTTTAGCAATGTTTATTTAACTGATGTGGAATTTTGGATCTAATCTATAATCAGGTCACTTCAAGGCTCCAGACAGAATTATTTGTATATCTGATCTGATTTTATCTTTCTTGTACTGTTAATCATTGTGGCGTTTTAATCTTTTTTTTTATTACTTTATTGATTTTTTGTAAGTCAGTGGTGAGAGCGTCTCTTTATGCATAAGATCAAACTAAAAAAAGGCATTTGTAGGATTTATCTTGTTTTCCCTCACAGAATGTAAAGCAAGTCATGTTTATTGTTTCATTATTCACATATTTAATGATAATATATATTTTTTATTACTTGTTTTTGAAAATAATAACATAATCTAGCGTTTGTAGGGATAAAAAATACCTGATTTAGCCTTTGAAAGAGAAAACCATGACTTGGGTCTTTTATTTTGAAGACAGACTAAAGTCAGCTTCCGTTTTTTTTTTTTTTTTTTTTTTGCCGCTGTTCCTTTGTGGATCTTGCCGCGTTGTGGGGATCTGGAGAAAGATAACGGATTCTACCAGCCCAGAGAGGAAACCCCGCCGTTCCCTCTATTTGATGCGCACATGTACGCGTTGCGGTGCGGTTGTCTAGCGAGCAGCGTTGACTCGAGGCCCGCCTGCAAAGCCTTTTTGTCGGACTCCTATTTGATAAGAGCTCAGTAGCTATCTGAGCTGACGGCGGTGATGATGATGATGATGGTGGTGGTGATGTATCTGAGGATTTATCCCGGCGTCTTTCACTGAGATGGAGCCAGCGACGATCGAGTGGAGCTTCTTACTAGCCAGCAAGGATCCGGAGAGCTAAATGGGTGCAAAAGCTATTTTACCGCACGGGGAATTCTTTAACATTATCACCTCAGCCCAGATCAGATTTAAAACACTTAACACGATGCTGACTGTGGAAAATTGCTAATTTTTGGTTAGCCACACCATTTATTTCGCTTCAGCGACCATTCTTAACCCCAGGCTGTCCTTGGATGCTTCAGTGACATTAATTGGGTGAGTAACATGAGCTATTAGACTTTTACTACTAAACTACAGGGTGGGACTACACTCCGGCTGAGCCTCTGCGCTCTGCACCAGATACAGACATCTAGCGTCAGAGTTAACGTTTCGTGGTGACGCTTAAAAATACCAGACTCCTAAATCCTTTAGCTTCCTTTGGTGTTTGTGTCAACATTTCTCAATATTGTTGAAAACTACAGGTTGACATTTCTAACGTGTTTCGTTGCTTCTATTCCCATTATGCTAACTCACCTTGCTGCTAGCTAGCATGTTATGAAGTACTCGAGACTGTGGCAGGCCGGTCTAACACGTAATCAATCTAACATTTCTGTCTGTATTTATTACCTATTTAAATATAAGTAATAACGTCCTTCTTACCTTGTTACATTCTTGATTATCTGAAGTGAAATTAAAGACACCTAAAATAGCATTATCTCTAAGAAAATAAATGTTTTAAAGTCACCACAGCTGTTTTGGGAACTGCAATTCTTTGAAAGTATGCATTTTAGCTTTATTGGATGTTTATATGGCAGTTATCTATAATTCAGAAATTCATGATAAAAATAATTCCTTCAAACATCCTGAAGCCCGTTTGTGTTTTTCCACTGTAACATCGTTATTATTTCACTTTTCCCATTTATGTGTATTGGTCTTTCAAAATATCAAACCGTTTCTGCTGGTTCTTTTTTGCTTTTGCATGAAAGGAAGTGTTATCAAATTCCTTCCATCTGACTTGGAAGAGCTGATATATGGATACCTGCTCTCCTGAGCCTATTTATTATATTACTAATCAACTTGCAATACAGTAATGTCCCTGCAAATCAGGGATGTGTTTTGTTGAAATTCTGGCGATACGATACAGGGGAGACGATACGATATATCACGATATATTGCAATACATTCAGTCAGATGTTACAAGCAATTTTTTTTACCAAGTTCATTGTAGGAATGTTCAATAAACAGTCCAAACTGATACGTAATGTGTTAAACATAAGGTATCTGAACCATGATGGAGGGATTTACATTTCAATGGTGGAAACAAAACCTGCTGCACACTGCTGCCAACTAGCGGTTGGCGATTGATTTGCACAAAACGTAAAGAAAATACACAAATGTTTGCATGTAAATTCTTTCAAGAATTAGATACACGGCTTTTGAATATTGATGTAATAATCGCAGGAAAACATATCACGATATATTGCCATATCGATATTTCCGATACACGGCTTTTGAATATCGATATAATATTGCTGGAAAAAATATCACAATGTATTGCCATATCGATATTTTCTTACACCCCTACTGCAAATGGTCCTTTTAAGGTCCTGCGTGTGTTACTGGGGACCAGCTACCACTCAGTCCCAAATTACCACCTTAAGTACATGATTTTATTGTCTTAAAAATGGCGTCTTCTACAGGTGCACTAAATGTCATTAGATCACCTTTCCCTCAAATTACTTTTGGCTGCTGAAACATCCAGATGTTTTACTTAAGGACAAGTAAATAAAAATACTTAATAACAACTCATTTTGATGAACTAGCACTTTTTTCCATTAAGTACAAGGACTTTTTTTTAGAATAAAAACGACGCACCTGTTACCAAGTATCATTGCTCTTTTGGTGTATGATTGACTATCTTAGTAAAATAGATGCAAAAAAATCTTATTTTTATAAAATAACAGCACGTTTTTTTATCTTATTGAGGCATACACCATATCAAAGAAAAATAAACCAATGAACTTAAAATATGGGGATGACTATTGCCCTTATTGCCCCTAACAAAAAGAAAATTAATAGAAATGGCTAAAAAGAACAATTTTCATAGCTTTTTCCTTGATGTTAATAAAAAAGTTTGGAAACTGCAGATGAGGGAAGTTCTTAGAAATAGACAGAATAGATAGCCCAAAATGTTAATTATTTTTCTGAAAATTCAGACTTTTCCTACATGATCTAAAACACATTTAGGTAAAAATCAAACAATGTTGATATTTGAACATTAAAAGAAAGGTTTATTAGAATTAAACATGAAAATTACAGTGTTTCTACATTTTTTTAGTTTTCTGCACTCGACAAGACTAACTGCTTCCTTGTGTCTTTCAGACGGCGCGTTTCAGGATGGCACAGCTGTTGGACTGTGCCGGCAACCTGAGCTGGATTCTCCTTAGGTCCGTGGTCCGTTTCACGTTCATGTTCTTCAACAACTGTGTAGCCATCCCGTCCTACTGCTTATACCTGCTGCTCCTTCAGCCGCTGAGAATATGGGACCGCTCCACTTTCTGGCACATCGAAGGGGTCATGTTCAAGTGGCTGCTGGCCATGGTGTCTTCGTGGGGCTGGGTGGCAGGTTATACAGGTAGGATGCTCTTCCATTCATACTTTTATGTCACATCACAAGTGATTAAAGCTTAAAGTCCCATAGTTATCACACACACACACTGGTGTGGTGTTGTGAAAATTGTCCTCTGCATTTGACCCATTCCCGTGAGGAGCGGTGAGCTGCAGACACGGTCACGCTCGGGAACTATTTGGTGGTTTAAAGGTTCCTGATCATGCTATTTTAAATATTTGAGACCAAAGGTAGACACAGTATATGATAAAATATTACCTTTGGCACTATTGAGATGTCATTTATCTTAAATAGGAGTTGTTTTCGTCAGTTTGAATTTGTACCCAGAAATGAAACAGTTGAGTTCAGTGAAACTTTGCCCACCACTGCTCCAACAAAACACACTTACAGAGCATCTTAGACCAGCCTGCTATCGTATTGGCCTTGGTAGTCTAGTGGCTACAGTGAACAGTCAGGCACTCTAATCACTGGACTACCAAGTCTGCTACAAAACAATAGCCGATATCCTGTGCTGGCTATTATTATGTGTCTTTGTAGACAGAACACATGGTTACAGTGGTATTTTGTCCCAGATGTAGAAGTAATCTGTCAGAATATCCAGGTTTCAGAACCGAGACCACCAGCTACAGGGAGAGGAAAAATGCCTGATCCTTCAGGCTTTGTCGGAATTTTCAAAGTAAAACTCTAAATTTGCAGCTAATACAGGAAAATGTATGAACGCAGCCAAAATTGGTTTGGGGGTTGCTTTCATGAGGAAATTACAATATCACATAGTAAAAAGCTCCAAAAAGTAGATTTTCCATGAAGTTGCACTTTTAATGCGTTTACATGCTGGCGATGTGCAGCGTGGTTCAGTAAAAAGTTCGTGTATGTCAAAATAAGTTGCTGCTACTGGAAGAGCAGTTGGTTGAATATAAATGAGATGGCGAAAGGGGTTCTTTAAAATTAAGTGACTTCCTGTTTGTTGCATTTGCTTTTATTTCAAAATAAAAGTTTGAATTCCCTGTGGATTTCATTGAGTGCAAGCCTGTCTTTTCTTCTTGTAGTCAACCAAATGTTTAAATGGTTATATGGTTTTGCTCAAGTTAAATGTGGTTAGGGAAGGCTACTTTTTAATGGTCACCTTGTCTAGAAATAAGTCGATGATAAAAAGTGAAACGAGAATTTAATGAGTCATCTGCAAGGTCCATCGACTTGGAAACCAGCCTGGAAGTTGAATGTAGAAGAGTTTGAGCATCTCCCGAAGGCTGCTTCCAGGGCAGGCTTTTCTTTATAGTAGTCGATTGTGAGAGAGCAGGCAGAACATCCCAATCTCCAGTTTGCAGATGATTCCAAAAGTGCAACATGGCAACACATTACTCTTGTAAAAATAGTATGTTTGATCAATGCACTTCTTACAAAATGCTACTCAGGCACAGGAAAAGTGTTGTGCAACAGCTGTGGAGCAACACAACAACAAACACTCACCTGACACACGATCAGACAGCACAATATGGAGCTTGTTGGTTAGCCTCAGCTGTCTGGTTGAATATCTTGACATGACACTGGTCACAGCGGTGTTTGGTTGCATGGAGCTGAAAGCAAAATGCTTACAAATTGCTAAGTGGGGAACATGTGGAGAAACAAGGCTCACCGATTAATAATTCACTGCTTTCAGCATATAGAAAAGCAAGTTTCACGTTAAAGGTCTGGATTCATGGAGTCAAACGCTGGTGTTTAGTTGGCAGCAGGTAGGGAGATTTACCTTGTCTGCAAGTTTGAAGGCTCAACACGGACTCAGATTTCAGACGTAACAAACCTAAAGGAGAAAAATCAGCAACTTTAGGGGCAGAATTTGTCAAAGCTGCCATTTCAGAAGGAGATGTTAGCAACAAATTATTAGCTGCATGCTATCGTATAGTCGAGCCGAAAGGCAGAAAAAAGGCGTATGCTAAGCCTGGAGAGGAATTTTTTGGAATCTTGATGAACCCAGCCTTGGATATTGTATACATGAGCACAACAACTCCTTATTTATTTTAACTGCAGAAACAAAGCAGACGAGATGCTGAGGTGTCAGTGCAGATTTGACACATGTTTTGTTTAGACAGATGCAAAAGAGGTGAGAAATTGTTTAAAATCGGTGAAAGTGGCAGAACATGGTTTTGTTTGCAGGTGCTTTTGTCTGAGTCTTGTGATGAGGGCGCAACAACTTCCTAGCACATCCAGTTTTCATCCAAGGTCATGGGATTTACTGTGGCGCTTGCAGCTTTTATTTTCCCGCTTTGTTTCAAACAAGATCTTAAGGCTGCAAAATGACACGATTTTATTGGGAATTTCCTTCTGAGGCTTTTACGTCTGAATGTCAGCAATCTCTCAGAAGTTTTCAAACATTCTGTTAAAAATTTCACTCAAATTCCTCATATTTCCTGATTTATTGGATTTTTATGATAAAGTACAAATGCAGCTGCAGAGGTGGATAAATCTAACTCTCCTATGTTGTGAGGGTGTTTTATTTATGACATGCATAATGTGACAGGGATCCCGCACAACCCGACACGCCGCAGTCAGAAAGCTGAGCTTTAGTTAACGATCATCCGTGAAGGATGCTGCTTCCTGTTCGCTGCAGAGGAGCGAGGCGAGATCGTTTAATCAGGTCTGAACAAAGCCGTAAACTGGGTGCACTTTATCACAGAGGCCTGGAGTCAATCATTAAGCGAAGGTCCATTGTGGTGGAAGGTGAACGCACTCAAAAAGTATCTGGAGTTTATCATCAGATGGTCGTTGAACTCTAGCTTGATGCTTAACCCACGTTTGTTACGAGAAACCAATCAAGAAATGAGTGATTCAAGGGAAGCCCCCCGAGCTGTTCTGTAAACATTTATTTTATGATTAACTGCAAGGCAGCTTTATTTAAACACAGGAGAAATTCAGTGTGTGCATACATGTTGACCGTTACAGTGTCAGAAGGTGCTTTGTGACCTTAGTTCTCATGTGGACATGAAATAAAGCCAGCTATGGGGTGCAGCTCAGCTCTCGGTGGTGTGATGCAGAAATTTAAGTCGTTCATTCATGATTTAATACATTGTACATCTGAGCGGCGTTCGTTAGAAAATCCTGGTTTGGCCGACCCGAGCCGAACCGGCAGTGACCGTGATGTAATGTTAGCCCTGCTCGGCTCGGCACTTCACAGCAGATCATAAACCCCTTCTTAATCCCATGGCGTGTTTTTATTTCATTATATAAGCTAATGGCATTGTGATGTTGCTTAGCAGATACTCGTGTTATTATTAAGGCCGTATTCAATGAGAAGAAAGCTGTGAGCTGTTATTTATGAGTAGGAAATTATATTATAATGTTTAATTCTGACACATTTGGACTTGATGCTCAGTTGGTTTTTCATCAGCAGAAAGTGCAACGCGTGCACGAGAAAAATGCAAGACATATTAACCTGTTTTGTAGGTTTAATCCTAAATCTGTCACCTAAACTCATACGGGTGCTTTACAGCCTGCAGGAGGATGTTTTTAGACCATGTTGCATGAGTGGGTGGTCTGTCAGACCTGTGGAGGAGGATCACAGCTGATCGTTACATGCACTTGTTCCTCAGTGATGAGCTGCATGTTCCAGTCTTTGATCACGGTGGAAATAGAGTTGACATACGTATAAACGTACACGTCTTCCTGCAGTTTCGCTCTTTTACTCACTTACTGCTTTTTTGTCTGTTGTTAGTCATTTATTGGTTTTATAAAACAAAATGTGCATGCGTGGTGGAGTAGTTGGTATTGCTGGTGCCTTGCAGCAAGAAGGTTGCAGGTTTGACTCCCAGCTGCAGCCTTTCTACATAGAGTTAGCATGTTCGTCACGTGTCTGCATGGGCTTTCTTCGGGTACTCCAGCTCCCTCAGCAGACCAAAAACATGCATGTTGGGTTGACTGGTGATTCTAAATCATCTTAGAGAGAGTGTGTGTGTGTGTGTGTGTGTGTGTGTGTGTGTGTGTGTGTGTGTGCGTGCGTGCGTGCGTGTGTGTGTGCGTCCCATTGGTGGACTGCTGACCTGTCCAGGATGTCCCCCACCTCTCGCCCAATGACCCCTGGAGACACCAGCCCCCTGCAGCCTACTGACGAACTGTTTCATTATTGAAAATAATATTTTCCTGTCTTTCTGGTACTTTTATAAATACGCTAGTGCTAATTATTCATCATTTCATTAGTAAAATCAGATGTTTTATATTGACTTTCCTGCTTTGAGGGCCTTTACTATTAGTGAATGGGTTAGACCAATATACTGGTTGGTCAGCTGATATATCGGGCCAGTCTTTACCGTTTTTTATACATCGGCCGATATTTGTTTTTAGTAAAGCCGATTAAGACAGGCACATCCTCGGGCAGCTCTGTGCTGTTGCAGAGTTTAATTTAAATGTATTTTTATGTTCACTAATAACATTTACGTAATAAATACTTTAAATGATTTTTTTAGGTGTCTGACTTTAACACTGGGCAGTGCACAAAGTTAAGATTTAACAGTTAGTTAAATTTATTGTTCCAAAACTGATTCAGTTTGGGATTTTTTCTGCATCAACTGATGTTATTAGTGACATTTTAGCATGAGAATAAGGGCAGAAAATGTCTAGATATCAGCTGTGAAAATTGCCATTGGTATTGGCCATCGGCTGACCATGTTTCCTACATATTGGCATTGGTATTGGCAATAGAAAAACCAACATCGGTCTAGCTCTATTAGTGAATGCCTAAATGAGGGGACCTTGACAGTTTTCTAACAGTCTGATGTCAAGGTATTGTCGGTAAATAAAGATATAAACCAGGCACATCTAAAGTGCGGCCATAGAGTGATTTTGTGCGGCCCACAAATGCATTTCTAGAATGATAGATTTTTGTTTCCTCCGCAGGTTGCTGATATAGGTGTTTTTAACATTGTTATCTTCATATTGTTGCTCAAATGCATATTTCAGGGTATTCGCGAGTCCTTAAAAAGTCTTCAAAAGTCTTAAATTAGCTTTTCCAAATATAA